CTGCTAGTTAGGTTACAGTAAACACGGTCTTGATAACAATGATGTAAGAGACATATGATTATCCTTAATCTCAGTTTTTTTTAATCACCAAGATAAAATATGATTGAAAGTACATTGTGATACCAAGGCACTGAACTATTGGCAAAACAGATAATATCTGGTTGAGGTCATAATGTTTTCATCGTGCTGTATTTTTCTTTCACCTCCTCAGTTGAAGGAGTTGATTAATATTTCTGGCTACACAGGAGAAGGGTGCCCTATGCTACAATGTCAATAGCACTGAGCTATTTATCAGACAGGAGAATCACAGTATTGAGCTGCTTGTTATCCACGCTATTAGCACTGAAGGAAAAAGAATAAAAAGAAATCAGTGCAGAAGGGGGCTCTTGCTGCACAGTGGTACTGTCTCCACCTCTGAGCCAGGAGACCTGGGTTCAAGTCCCACCTGGTCCAGAGATGTGTCATAACATCTCTGAACAGGTTGATTAGAAAAAAATTATTAGCATAGAGCTCCTTCCCTGTTATTGCATTGCCCTTAATGGGTTTTGGGTGTAAATTAAGCAATTCACGGAATCACAGAATCCCTACAGTGTGGAAGCAGGCCATTCGGCCCACCGAGTCCACTCCAATCCTCTGAAGAGCGTCCCCACCCAGACCCACATCCCTACCCTATCCATCTAACTCTATATTTCCCATGGCTAACCCACATAACCTGCACATCCCTGGACATTATAGGACAATTTAGCATGGCCAATCCACACATCTTTGGACTGTGGGAGGAAACCGGAGCACCCGGAGGAAACCCACGGAGACACAGCGAGAGTGTGCAAACTCCACACAGACAGACACTTGTGGCTGGAATTAAACTTTGGTCTCTGGCTGTGAGGCAGCAGTGCTAACCGCTGAGCCACCATGCCGCCCTTGGTAAAAATTGGGTGATTTATTGATTTATTCCATTAATGGACGGAAAACAAAAACAGAGGTGATTTAGTGATGTGGAATAAAACATCAGTAGTAAGAGTACTTCTGGATATAAAACAAAATCAGCATAGAAGGGTCTTGTGGTGCAGTGACAGTGTCCCTACCTTTAAACAAGGAGGCTCAGGTTCAAGTCTATCCTGCTCCAGAGTATACCATAACTCGTGAGAACAGGTTGATTAAAATAACCAATAAAAGCTGAAAGAACTGCGGATGCAGTGAATCAGGAACAAAAACAAAGTTGCTGGAAAAGCTCAGCAGGTCTGGCAGCATCTGTGAAGGAAAAAACAGAGTTAACAGAACAGTTCTGAGGAAGGGTCACCGGACCCGAAACATTAACTCTGTTTTTCCCTTCACAGATGCTGCCAGACCTGCTGAGATTTTCCAGCAACTTTGTTTTTGATTAAAATAACCACACTGACATATGCTGTAGATTCAATGGATAGGGATCAAGAGCATAAGAAAGTTGACTGACTCTCCATAACCAAAGGGTACAGAAGATCATGATAGTGTTCATTCTGCTGTGTCAGCTGAGATCACTTTTCTAAATTACATTCGGGGAATTCAACCCCAGTTAACTCTGGTCTACGAGGCTTAAAAAGGAATAAAGAAACGACTTGACATTTATGTAGCACTTTTCGTGAACTCACAATTTCTCAAATCACCTCCCACATCTAATGACGTATCTTCATGCTGCTGGTTTCATGTCAGACAACTGTGCAGGCTTCCACAGAAAGCAATGAAATAAATAACCAAACAAAAATTGCTTAAGTTGTATTGCCCAGAGAACTGTGTGGAAAAAACATGGGAGGGTTTGAAAGGAAAGAAAAAGAGAGAGATGCTAAATAATGTTTCTGTAAACCTATAGTTTGTGGCTCATTGTAGAGATGTCACATGTACAGGGAAAAAAAACTAAATGACCCACACCATCATAAACTAAATATAAAAACTGTGATAGAGTTTAAAGGTGATGAGGAGAGAACAGATAGAAATCAAAGCAGAAAGTCAGCCAAGTTGAAAAAGATGCACAAGTACCCAAAGAAAATTGAATTTCACTCTTCCAATACTTTTTAGGCTGAGGGAGAAGTTTAAGACACAGGTGATTTAAAACTAGGATGTGCACGCATATATGTCTCTATATATAGCCTATTAACAGTTGTAGTGATTTTAAATTAGGTTACTTAAAGAGAAACAGAAATTATTAATAGACACTGAATCTAGCCTGTAATGACTGTAAAACTAGGGCAGGCAGACAGAGAGAGAGAGATAGGATTGTAATTCACCCCTTTTGTAATACTGGTACTGAAATAGAGGCTACAGAACATATGAAGAGACAAAGGATATGTAAACTCATCAGGGATGTAAACAAACTTAGCCAACTTCATTATGGAATGGATAGCTGCAGACTAAATAATAGTGAATGAATAACATTACATTAAACTAAATGGCACAATGCTACCAGGGTTATTTTTAAATCATGGAGTGTGGGGAGCTAATCCCAATTTCACTGCATCAGTCTCACAGGGGCATAAGGGAAATTTAACACAAAATACCACAGTGACAGAAAGTGTGCATATTATTTTAGGTGAGGTTTGATGGGCTAACTTTTAAAAATATTTACAGGCTATGATTCCCCTCAGCAGTTGCCTGAAACAGTTAGCATCAGTACTTCCACTCTCCAGTTCAATTCGTCATATCAAAAGAAAACCTTCTGCAGCCTGATTGCACCACTGGTGATGAGAGGAACTCAACAAACCTCAGACTTTTGTCTTTTTGTGCACTTAGCGTTTTTATTTCAGATCGCGAACATCTACTGTTTTATTTGGTGAATCTAGGCCAAGCACCTGCGACAAAATTGGTCAGGAGGCATTCTTTTGAATCATTTTCATTTTGGGGACAATCAGGTTCAAATTCTTCTGTACTTTGCAAAACTCCATGGAAAGCAATCAAATTTGCAAACAATCATTAACAGGTTTGGGCATTTGTATTGATACTATCCATGTTGGGAATAATGTGATTGTAAGCTTCCTCAGCACATCTCTACAGAATGAAAATTAAACAGAGACAACATAAGTTCTTTCCAAGTCTTTAATATTTGAGAAATCTATTTGGTTGGTTCCCACATTCAAAAAATAAATCCCAAGATCCCAAGTGCATTTAAGTTCTACCATTATCAGACCTGGACACAAAAATAAATCACCTATGAGGTGTTCTTCTTCGTGAGAGAAGTTCTCTTTTCACTTGCCTCGAATTTCTTTTCTTCTTAGGGGAAGGATGGCAAGATTTTGGTAAAACACGTCACCCACTTTCATCCCCAAGCATCAATCTCAAGCTCAAGCTCTCAAAGGTCAAATACAGCCAATTGCAGATTGCTAGTTTTTTGTTTTGTCTTCTAGTTTTTTTAATCCCCATTAATGCAGCTGACACAAGTGTGAATGCTTGATTAAGAGTGATTTTTCTTTTAAACTTCTGCAGTGCTTCCAAAACTGTTAGTAGTGGATTTGAGGCTGTCCTGGATTTGTTCCAGCCATCCAAGCAGAAAGCTTTGGCCCCGATATCTCATCAAAGAACTGAACTGGCCTTGCCCACTGGGCCTACTCGGTTCACTTACCAACCAAAACAGAAGTCAAAGACGCAGCAATCAAATTGGTTCACTCATACAAGTGTATCAAGTGCCAGTCTGAAGTTAAAGGCTCAGACTGTATCCTCTCAATAAAAAGATTTCTTAAATAAGAACTTTATCCTCCAAATGGCAAGCAAGTCAAAGACAGTACGAATGATCGAGGTTGTTTGATTCGGGGTACCACTAGAAGTTGGGAGGTCATGTTGCGGCTGTACAGGACATTGGGTAAGCCAGTTTTAGAATACTGCGTTCAATTCTGGTCTCCCTGCTATCGGAGTGATGGTGTTAGGCTTGAAGGGGTGCAGAAATGATTTACAAGGATCTTGCCAAGGTTGGAGAGTTTGAGCTAAAGGGAGAGGCTGAATAGGCTGGGACTATTTTCACTGGAATGTCGGAGGCTGAGGGGTGACCTTATCGAGGTTTATAAAATCATGAGGGACATGGATAGGGTGATTAGCCAAGGTCTTTTCCCCAGGGTAGGGGAGTCCAAAACTAGAGGGCATAGGTTTAAGATGAAAGGGGAAAGATATAAAACGGAACTAAGGGGCAACTTTTTCACATAGAAGGTGGTGTGTATATGGAATGAGCTGCCAGAGGAAGTGGTGGAGGCTGGTACAATTACAGCCTTTAAAAGGCATCTGGATGGGTACATGAATAGGAAGCATTTAGAGGGATATGGGTCAAATGCTGGCAAATGGGACTAAATCAATTTAGGATATCTGGTCGGCATGGATGAGTTGGATGGAAAAATCTGTTTCGTGCTGTACAACTCTATGACTCTGTGTGTACAAGCATGAAAGCAGGAAGTTGCCAGTTTGCTTCCGGTGACCACTGGGTTAACTGATGAGTGAAGCGACTGGTTCTGACAATTCCTCATCAGTGCCACTGGAGGGTACAGAATGAGGCGGATTTGCTGCTCTTGGCAATAATTGCTGCTGGATTGTATACAAGCAGGTTTGAAGGCAGAGTCAATTGTTTAAAACCTAACAGTTCGTCATCACTCATGTTCTGGGCTCACATCGAAAAATTGGGGCTTGACTGGAACCTTTCTGATGACTATGATCCAAGCACGCAGTGTTTGCAGGAAAGTCGCAAGGTGTGCGAGGGAGGGAAGAACTATTTTGGATACATGTAACATGCAACAGTGTTAAATATTGAGGGATGAGGACACAATACTTGAGACACTGGAGTCTGACAACAGATGAAACTGGAAACACTTGTCATTGGGCAGTCTTTGGGGGAAGCAGAAGAAAGGAGCACCTTTCCTCAGGTTCTGACAAAACCTGAAAAGATGAACTGTCCGATGCTGCCAATGTGCTGCGTTTCTCCAGAATTTTCTGTTTTTATTTCCTAATAGCAAGGTACGTCAACAAAGATAGGGCTTGGACTGATTATCATGGAAATTTCCAGAAGTTGCTTTATTCTAATAAAGATACCCACTTTCAGGTGGTGATGGCAACATCAGTTGTTGTCAAGGAGACTTGAAACCCAGGTGATTTTGCTGCTCCTATGCAAGAAGGATGGAAACAGGACACGTTGACTGATAAGCACAATAGATGCAATAAGAACATTAATCATTCATAACTACTCTCTCCTCTCTCCAGGGTCTTGTCGCCAAACCTACAAGAGCTGGGACTAGTCCCATCGTCTATTAACTATTAACTGCCTACAGGATGATAAGCAAAACCCCAATTTTTTGATGCAACTCACATTTCCCATCACTTGCCAAGATAAACACTTGGGTAAAGTGCCTGGGGCACATATCAGTCTGATAGACCATCATAGCAGCTGTACAAACATTTTGAGTCTTCATCCTGTGGGTACTCAGCTCAGACAATCAAAGGAGAGCAATAGTGAGATGAAAAGAAAAATTCTTATCATCCCTATCCACTTCATCAACCAAACATATTAGACCTGAAGCCAATCGTATCTCTCATCCCATAGCACACCCAACCTTGCGATTCAACCTGCCAAGTGATAATTGCCTTATTCTTGTTTACATATATACTCAGTTAACCGCACATAATCATGCATATGTCTTAGTAGCCAATGCCAATACGGCAATTGCAGCAATTATGAAAATTAAAACTCAGATCAAAAGATTGGCAAGTTGGCCATACAGACTTGATGTACGTATGATGCATGATGCTATGATTTCACCAAGTTTGGTCTATATCAACTTTAATGCTATTGAGGTTAAAAAAAAACTCAGATTTAATGCATTGTATTCTTTTCCTTGTCCAGACCAGATTCCACACATTGATTTCTATATAAAACATGAGTCACAAATTTACTAGAGCACTTTTCTAAGCACTTGTGCTCAGAGGTATTTAAGTCTGAGCCTGTGAGTGCTTCTTCAAGAACACCAATTGGCATTTGAAGCCCATAATCCTTATTGAAGTCGCGATCAACTCTATATGGCTTATTAATATCACACGATTTCAACATTCAGCCACATGGTTGCCAATTGGAATGAAATTCACTGCACCACATATGGCAAGACATCAGAGTACAGTAAAATTGGAGCAACTCAAAGCATTTATAGAGCTGAAATGTGCTGGTTGCAAGCAAACGTCAAGAAGGGTTGACAATTGCATTAGGCACCAAAGGAAAGCGTAGACAACAGATACCACTGCAGAACTCAGTAACATATGGTCTGCAGGGCAAACTACTTTTTATGTAAACACAATTGTTCATTTCATTCAATGTTATTATAACAAACATTTTTTAAACATGCAACATTAGGATCTATTCTTTCAGCAGTCAGCAAAAGTGTTAAAATATCAATAGACTTTTTACGATGTTGTCAACAGACGATAAACAAAGGCTCTTCGATAGACAAAACTATGGGAATTTGCGAAGGAACTTCAGTAGGCTGCTACTGGTCAGATCCCGTACTGGTAAAGGAAACTGTTTACACATAGAATTTACATTCTAAAAGTTTCATAAGTAGAGTCAGGTATTTCAGTTGGTTAGTGCATGACGTTTGACATTGGCAACAGCATGGATTCAATCCCCAAATCAGCTGAAGAAATTCTTGGGACTTGCCTTTTCTACTCAACCCATTCAGATCAAGTGGCATCATAGAATCTAGATCAATAAGCTCTGGGTAATGATAATGTTACATGAGGAGAGGCAGAAAAAGGTTCATGAAGAGTTTAAGTCTCAGCATGAAATTATGTTTAAAAACAACAAGAGTCTAAATGGGAAACTTTAATATATAGGTGAATAGACACCCACAGAGAATGCATGTGCATGAGTGCTTTCAAATTTGATGATATATGATATTCCACAGACGAGAAACATGGTTAGATATTTTCACCCACAATAAGATAAAACTCGAGAACTTAAGCCACGATTCCATCTCATTGGTAACTGGTCACAACGTTTAGTAACATGCAGGACAATGTACACACGATACTTACAGCTTGGGTAATGGTGCTCTTCACTTTGTCACTAAGTATCCCCTCAAACACGAAAGAGTCTCCAAACTTTTCTGCCTGATGGGGAAACAAACAATAATTGACTGTTAACTGCAGCCAAGTTAGGGTCTCGTTTTCTCATTCATTTGCACGCTGCAGTGCTGCCCTGATTGCTTCAAACTTCCAGTCTTGTTTCTAAAAGTCTCAGTCACGTATCGAATACTGTGTTTAAAAAGTTAAAAGATTTGTGCAGTTGCTTTCTTCTGTCCATTTGTGTGAAGGAGCAATCTTTTTGAAACACAGAAGATACTGATTTCACAAGGACTTGAGGAGGTGGATGCTGAAAGGGTGCTTCGCCTTCTGGGACAGACTAGGTGGGGTGGTCACAGTTTAAAAAATGAAAGGGTCTGCCAATTGAGACAAGTTAAAAGGCAATGCATTCTCAGAAGGTCCTTAGTCTTTGGAATTCTACTCCTAGAGTATAGCAGACACAGGTCACTGAACGTTGTTAAGGCAGAGGTATAAAGATTCTTGACGAACGAAAGAGTCAAAGTGTTCTGAGGGGCAGGTTCAGGCCATAATTACATCAACCATGATGTTATGGAATAGCAGAGAAGCTGGAGGGACTGAAAAGCCAACTCCTGCTCCTGATTTTTATATTCATACACCCATTCAACTCCAAAGTTGTCTTCATGCTAATGATTGCACTTGGTGCATTGACATTTCTTCCTCCAACCACTCGCAGGTGGAAACAGGGCAGTAGAAATTCCCAACCTGAGTGCTATTCACAGCTTCTAAAGGCAGCTATAATAATGGGTCTGCACTGTTGACTCAAGCAGTGCCATTGTTGACAGATGTACAATGTACAGGGAATATTATTTGCAGAGCATTGTCTGAAAATTATTAGAGCTTTTAGATGTTGTAACATGCAGGGTGAATAAAGGGGAAGCCCGTAGATTAGTGTATTTGGATTTCGAAAATGCATTCGTTCGAATCATAGAGGTGTACAGCGTGGAAACAGACCCTTCGGTCTAACTCATTCATGCTGACTAGATATCCTAAATTAATCTAGTCCCATTTGCCAGCATTTGGCCCATATCCCTCTAAATCCTTCTTATTCATATACCCATCCAGATACCTTTTAAGTGTTGTTATTGTACCAGTCTCCTCCAAGGTTCCAAACAAGAGCAGCAAATTACTGCAGATGCTGGAATCTGAGCTGTAAACAAAAAATGCTGGAGATCACAGCGGGTCAGGCAGCATCTAGCTGAAGCTCTGGTGAAGAGTCACCTAGACTCAAAACTTTCTCTCCATGGATGCTGCCTGACCCGCTGCGATTTCCAGCATTTGTTGTTTTCAGTCCAAACAAGGGGAGACTGAACAAGTTAAGATCATACAGCATTGTGGAGTGATGTATTAGTACGGAGACCAGGATTGGCTGATCATCAGGAAACAAATTTGGGATAGACGGGTCATGCTCAAGTGGGCAAACTCTAACAAGTGGAGTGCCATAGGATCAGTGCTGGGGGCTTAACCAACTGCAAACTAAATGAATGGAGGGGCTGATTGCCCTGCCGTCCAATTCACAACGCTTCGCGGTTAGGTTAGAAGGCAAGTCATGCAAGTACAAATTGTCTGCAAATGGATGGTTGAGGGAGTTGGAAAAAAAAAGAAAATAAAATTGCAAATGGAGTAGAATAAGGTAAAATGAGAGTTTGTCCACTTTGGCAGTAAGAATGGTAAAACAGAACATTATTTAAATAGGGAGAGACAGCAGAATGCTGCACCGCAGGAACCCGCATGTTCCCCATGAATCACTAAATATCAGCATGCAAGTACAGCAAGAAATAAACAGCGTGGTGGCCTTTACTGCATAGGGGGGTAAGGGAGGGCGGTGAGGGCAATGGTGTATAAAATTAGAGTAGCTTTGTTATAACTGTACAGGGCATTGGTGAAACCATAACTAGGGTACTGTGTACAGATGTGGCCACCTGACTTAAAGAAGGCATATACTTGCACAGGAAGCAGTTTAGAGAAGGTGCATTAGGCTGTTTCCTGAAATGTTGCCTTATCGGTTAGCATTGGACAGGTCGGACCTATACTTGGACAAAGAAACAAGAATTAATGTTTCAAGCCTAACGTGGCTCTCCACAACTGAAGAGGCTAAAAACTGAAGACCTTTCAGTTCTGAAGACTCATACTGACTCAAAACATCAACAGTTCTGCTTTCCACAGATGCGACAAGACCGGAGTAAAAAGCATAAAATACTGAAGAAATTTCAAATTTCCAGTATCTTGCTCATATTGGATCTATACTTACTGAAGGTGAAAGAAAGAGAGTGATCTTGCTGAAATAAACAATTACATTAGGGTAGATGCAGAGAGGATGTTTCCCCTCAGAGGGGAATAAAGAACTAGGGGATACAGTTTAAACATAAGTGCTTTTGGATTTCCAAAATGCATGTGTTAAGGTAGCCATACAAAAGTTGACTGAAGTGAAGAGCATATGGTATTATGCAGAGGAATAGATTTGAAGAGGAACAACTTCTTTGAGGATTGCTAATGTTTGAAATTTTATTCCCAGTAACCAGTGGAGAGTAGGTCATTGATTATATTCAAGGCTAATTAAGACAGATTTTTGATCAACAAGGGAATCGAAGATTATTGTGGGGCAGGGAGGAAAGTGACTTAAAGCCACAAGTCAACAATGATTTGTTGAAAAGCTCCTTTTTTCTCATATTAGCATCCCAATATGTTCAGACTTAACATCATACCTTACTGTACAAGTGTAACACTTTATCTTCCTTCACTATGTGATGATATTATCATTGTTGCCAAAGACCATATCTTTTTATCTTTGTATTTTTGATTGTGGACTGAAATGGGGAAAGGATTGGTTTAAAAGCCAAGACAGTTGAAAGATTACTGCATTTTTAAAAAGCAAGTTACCGAGTACATAGAATGGTCTATGAATGGAGATTTGTCTAGCAACGAGTAGCTGATTGGTCTGTGAAGTGGTGACCAGTTGTCAATAACAAAGATTTGCCTGTCTGCCAACAACTATGTAATTCACTCCCATGTTGCTGAACAACCTGTGGATCCCAATGTTTGGTCATAAGTATTACATTCGGTATAACAATCGGGGCAGGACTTATACAAGGAATGGTAGGGCCTTGGGTAGTGTTGTAGAACAGACAGATCAAGGGGATTGAGGTACATAATTCTTTGAAGTTTGTGTCTCATATAGACAGGGTGGTTAAGAAGGTGTTTAGCATGCTTTCCTTCATTGCTCAGTCCTTTGAATATGAGTTGAGAAGTCATGTTGAGATTGTCCAGAACATTGGTGAGGCCTTTTCTGGAGTACTGTGTCCAGTTCTGGTCACCCAGTTATAGGAAGGATATTATTAAGCTAGAGAGGGTTCAGAAGAGATTTACCAGTATGTGGCCAGGTATGGAAGGTTGGAGTTATAAAGAAAGGCTGAGATATTTTCCCCTGGACCGTAGGAAGTTGACGTTTATAAAATCATGAGGGGTATAGGCAGGGTTAATAGTAGGTGTCTTATCCCTAGGATGGGGGATTTCAAGGCTAGGGGGTATATTTTTAAGATAAGGGGAGAAAGATTTAAAAAAAAAAGACATGAAGTACAAATTTTTACAGAGCGTGGCTGGCATATAGAATGAACTTCCGGAGGAGGGATACGGGCCAGGAGCAGGCAGGTGGGACTAGATGGGGATTCTGTTCGGCATGGACTGATTTGATTGAAGGATCTGTTTCTGTGCTGTAGGACTTTATGTCTCTAAGTCAACAGACCTCTGGAAGAGAGGGTGTTGTTTTTGCTCTGCAGTAGCAAGGACCTCAAGACTGAAGAGAGCTAATGCATTTCCCCTCATCAGTTGATTCTTATCTTTGACTTTCAATTATTAAGTCAGAAACCTGGGAACCAGTCACCCTGTGCCTACTACAAATAAGTGAAAATATCTGGAGAAGGAAGATCAAAAGCAAAGTTATGATCAACGAAAGGATCATCTCAACAAACCCTGAAGAGGGTGACCATTACACTGTCTTCCCAGCCTTTTCCCCCATTTTTATAGAGGGGTGTGAAGAGGGGGGGGGGGCGGGTTATCAGTGGGTTACAGTTTTAATGAATTATATAAAGGATATTTCATAAACATTTCTGTAGTTACTCTATTCATTTGTAAACCATAATTCTTGTTAAGTATAGAGGCCTAGTTCATGCTCTGTTCGCTTGGATCTAAAATACGGGTAATTTGGGGAATTCTGCCAACGTTTTAAAATGTTTAACTTTTGTAACGATTCTGGAAGTAGCTGCTCTCGATTTCCAGCCTGCTACCCTAGTGAGGTGCAACAGACATTATAACGGGACACTTTCAGCTGCTGTAACTGCAGTTGAACATACGATGGGGTTTAGCAGAGGTCAGGAGGGAGCCCACTGTCAGTATGCTGGTGGTCACATGGAAAAAACAGGAGATATTGTATTGTGTGAAGAAAGCAAAGAGTTACAAAATACTGCTTCAGAGGACGAGAGGGGAGGATTCGTAAGCGACTGTGTGATAAGAGGACATTTATAGAATGTAGAGAGAATAAACTACAGAATATGAACAGCAAAAGAGACAAGGTACAATCAACGGTCCATGGGAAGGTCTTGTTAAAGTGTTATTATTTTCAAAGAGAGATGTATAGAAATTTGCGTTGACCTCAACCATTGCGCCTATGATAGGCTAGGACTGTTCATGTGAAGCTTTTCAATAGAAACCCCCAAAGAATGACAAGCAAGAAACCCAAGTAGCTGGTGGGTATGACTATGCAATAGTGGAGAGGTTACCAATAAACCAATAGGATCATATTGTCAGCTCTGGCCCTCCAGAGTTTACACATGCGGATCCCAAACAAAATGGTTAGTTTTTTTAAAAAATTCATTCATGGTGCTGGGCCAGCATTTATTGCCTGTCCCCAGTTACCCTTGGGAAGGTGCTAGTTGAGTCGTCTTCTTGAACTGCTGCAGTCCACGTGTTGGAGGTAGACCCATAATACCCTTGCACCAGATTATGCCAAACTA